AGATCAATTGATCTCTTTATTGTCATTCTCTTGTGTTTACAAAGACAGAGAAATGAAACACTGTTTTTAAGGCCTTTTAACAGTGTCAAAGGTATTCACAAGAAATGGCTGAAGAATTTGAGTCCTGACCACAAATTACTTTTCTTAACTTTTTTTTTGAAGTGAGAGAATACAACGGTCTCTGCAAAATCATATAACGTTTCTGGCAGTCAAACTGTTGATGAGGTCTGGATAGTTTCTAGTTGTAAAATCATTCCTCTCCTCTCCACTTTTTCTTTTTTTTTTGTTGCACCGACTCAGGAATGTCGATTGGCACACTTTCTTTACAAGACATTGTAGTTGGAAAACTCCAAAAAGTACGTCAGGGTGGGAGAAAATATCGGCCTTTAATATATGTTGATATAGGATTGCATCACACTGATATTAACTCTTTCCATTTGAGTTGTTTTAATTGGTAAAATATTTAAAATTATTCTATTTCAATTCAGTTTATTTCTATAGCACCAATTCACAACATGTCATCTCAAAGCACTTTACATATTCAACCAGGTCATAGCGTCAAATTGATTAAAAGTTTTCTATCTAAGAAAAACCAGTTGATTGCATCGACTCATTGACTGGAAGCCAATCACTCACACCACTAATGGTTGTAGCGACAGTAGAGAGGAAAAACTCCATTTTAACATGAAGAAACCTCCAGCAGAACCAGCCATCTGCCGAGGCCGACTGGGCTTCAAGGAGACAGAAGCAGAGATACAGAAAGAAGTAGAGATACAAAAGGCAACTGTCAACCAGCTCAACTAATAAGGAGTAGTGCTGGGCAATTAATTGCATTTACAATATAATCACAATTTAGAAAAAAAACTCTTGATTTTAGTCAAATTACATTTATCAAGACTAAGACAATTTCTAACTCTCTGCAAAATCATATAAAGTTTCTGGCAGTCAAACTGTTGATGAGGTCTGGATAGTTTCTAGTTGTAAAATCCCTCCTCTCCTCTTTTTTTTTGCACCGACTCAGGAATGTGGATTGGCACATTTTCTTTTCAAGACATGCTAGTTAGAAAATTCCAAAAACTACGTATTGACTGAACAAAAACAGATTAAATCTGTAACTATCTTTTTTTGTTGGTTTGTTTTTTTTTATTTTTTGTCTGAGGGGGTTCTTTTTACATTCTCGTTGTTGCTTCAAATGGAAATTTGTATTCCTGGATCTCTGACGATGAACCGGTAACGCTTCTGTAGGAGGAAGACACTGAGTTTGGAGGGCATATCATAGATGCAAATATGATCAACTTTATTGTATTGTCTTTTTACAAAAGAATGAAGGTGCCCCCAGGTCCTGTTGTGGTCCTTTCAAAAAAAAAAATTTGACTCACATCTTTCTCCCATATCCTTAAAATGTTATCATCTTCACCAACTTTGTTTTCTGTTGTTTGTTTGTACAGTGAATCATGGCCAATGCGACCTCTTTGACATCACCCATGAATCAGTCGCATCCTGGCAATATCATCACCCCAGAATACAGTGATGTGGAGCTTGTATTTCTTGGCGTTGCTATGGCTATTCTTGTTGTAGCAATAGTTTTGGGTAAGTATCAAAAAATCCAGAATATGCACACACCTAAAACCTTTAAATATTGCATCAGACACAAAAATCATTGTAATAATTAAAATTTAATCAGCAGACCAAAAAAGCTAATAATTTCTACTCTGTAAAACAACCAGTTGCTAATAAAAGTTGAAAGTGTTTTTTTTATTTCTTTTATTCATATACTACACATACAATTTCATATCTTTGAATTTTGAATGAATTTAGATCTGGAATTTAACCGTTCTCTTCTAATACCTCTTCTTAACTTAACTTTTCAACATCTTACTGCTTCCACAGCTTTAGCTTCCGCTTTATTGAACAGCAACGTTCATATTGTAGAACCGGTGCTTATAGAGTTTTAAAAATCTTGGAATCAAATTTGTTTTGTGTTTCTTCATTATCATCTTTAGTGGGAGGTCTTAGTTGGCTTAGCCCAGTAATTCCTAGTGTAGCCCTGTTATCTGTCGATATTATAAATACACATGAAGCACTTTATTTACTAACAGATTGTTTGAAAACATAACTTTAAAAATAACAGATATCCCCAGCAGGATTCAGTAATCATTCAGAGCAACTTTGGATGTACACGGAGTGAGCTACCTGCATATGAATTATGTAACTCAACTAGCTCCTTTGATATAAGATGTGGAATTAATAAGAAGTGTTTTTAATTCTTGCATAAAATTTGTCATTTTTAAAAAGTACTTTTATTCTGGCAAATTGTCCTTATTTTAAACTATGATCTGTAGAGTGAAAAGACACTTTAACCCTTTATAGGGGACTCAGTGAAATGCTAAAATCAAAATTTCAAGCCAATAGTGTAATTGGAATCCAGGACAAAATTTTATTACCTTTGTAGCATAAAAAAAAATATGGATATGTTGATGGCAAAATTAGTGTCAATGTAATAACAAGAAACACCAACTTGCCCAAATATATTAAGAAAAATAACAAAATGCCTCTATAAGAAATTCATTAAAAACACTCTGAGAGTGAAAGACACACTAAATATAATAGTCAACTAGGCTTATTAATTTTTTAACTTTACTTTATACCTTTTTTTCTTGTTAACTTTTTTTCAACTTAATTTACAGTAGCTAATATATCATTTAAAGGCTCATCTAATTGGCAAAATAAGATGTACAGCCATGTAGCAGCATCTTTGCGAAATTGTTCGATATAGATCTTGTGCTTCTAGACCTCACTGAGGGATGAGGACTCCATTTGTAAGGGGTATGCAAGTGATCAAAAACTGTAACTTGCCCTATAAAGGGTTAACATGTACTGAGCAAAACAAATGTTTGGGTGGCTTTTAGTTTCAGACAACGAATAAAGAAATGCACAATTAGAGGGGAGTTGTTTAGAAACCTTAATCTGCTGTTCACTCCTTGTATTGTTTGGTTTCTGTCTTGCTCTTATGGGGGCTGTTCGCTCCACAATGCCTTCACAGCACAGAATAAGCTGCACCTGGTTAGACTCTTTTTAATAGTTATATAAAGTCTTAAAGGTATAGTGGAGGATGTTCTTTTTTATGTTTTCATGATATGTTTACATAAGGCTGTCTATCCCCCTTTTCACTTTGAGTCCTACATAGTGACATGAGTGACGCAAACAGCAACTGTTAAACAGAGCGTGCACAAGGATAAATGGACTCATGCACGCTCTCACACGCATTTAATATGTCTTCACTCACGGGCGCGGGTACAGGGTTGTGCATGTGCATTTTTTTTTAAAGGAGAGGGCGGGTCATTTCAATAATTCGCAAAAGGTGATTGACTGCAATTGATTTTATTTGGGCCACCAAGTTAAATGGGGCTGAAACTATTTTGAATTCTTTTTCACAGACTTTATTTTCTTTAACCTAATATCCACCACTTTAAAACTCCATTGGAATAAATTGTGGTTGTAGCACAATAAAATTAAAAAAGTTCCAGGGGGGCGGGAACATTTTGCAAGGAGTTCTACTTCAAAGGAAAGAGAATAAGAAATAATATTTTGTTTGTATGCAGGTAATGTGATGGTAATTACTGCCATCCTGCGCTTCCAGAGGCTCCAGACTATCACCAACCTCTTCATTGCCTCACTGGCTGTTGCTGATCTCATCATGGGTGTGATCGTGGTCCCTTTCAGCTCCAGTAACATCTTGCTGCAAAGTTGGAAGTTTGGAAACTTTATGTGTGACTTCTGGACGGCAACTGATGTGTTGTGTGTGACTGCCAGCATAGAAACACTGTGTGTGATTGCTCTGGACCGCTACCTCGCTATTACAAGGCCGCTCCGCTATACAACACTGCTCACCAGGTAAGACAGCTTTTAAAAGAAAAATATAGAATATTAACGGTAAATATTTCTGATTTTATGGAGCAAATGTTTACATTTCAGCCAATGAAATACTTAAAAATAGTTTTAAGTCTGTTGACAAACATAGTTTGTTTGGGTGTGGCCAGAGGAGCAAGTTGATGGAAAATGTTAACCCATTAAAACCCATTAAGACCTGAGGCACTCTTTACAAATGCATGCAGTTGACCTTAACTATCCCGTGCCTATTAGGTTAAGCTTTGCCCTGGTAATTATTAACCCTTTTAACTCCCTGTTTAACGTAAAGGAGAAATCCCAAAGCTGGTTGACAATGGCATCTATTTACAGATTTATGCCACTCTAATGTTCCAAAGACTTGAGGTCATACGGCTCTGTTAGTTTTTATTCCTCCTTTGCCAAAGGCTTTAAGGGCCATTTGCTCAACGCTGAATACTAAAACAAAACAAATAAGCTGAGCCACGGTTTATGCAACGAATTTGTTGTTATCTTTTTGATTAAGGTATTAATAATCCGCTATGGGGTATTTAGTTTTTTTACAGAAATTGACTCGCTGAAGCTAAAACTAAGCCACCTAGGGAGCAGAGTGTTCTTGCAGACAAAATAATTTTTTTCTATCTTAATGAAAATATATAAATACTTTTTTAACAAATTGTGCTAAAATTTCTTCTCTGAATTGGCTGTTTTTTTAATCAAATGGTATATTTGAAAAGCTATATGTTCCACTCAGTGATTCACTGTTCGCTAATTTTTTGGAAAATTACCCTAAATGGATGATTAATCATGATTTAAGGCTGATTTCTTTAATCCCTACTAAATATAGTTTTGCATAGAATCAATGTTGCACATTAGGTCTCAGTCAAGACATGATGTCTTTTCAGCCGATTAATGACATGTCTTAAAGCACCATAACTAATTTAGTGACAAAAACCAGTTATGTAAAAGACCTTATTCAGAGTTTGGTTTTCTAGAAATGTGTTTGATATAATCTTTGATAACTAGCTGAACTTAATGGCTTTGTTTTATGA